AGAGGGGAGGGGGGTGGGGGAATGGGTTAGCCTAGTGATGGATATTAAGGAGGGCACATTCTGCATGGAGCACTGGGTATTATATGCAAACAATGTATCACGGAACACTACATCAAAAACTAATGATGTAATGTATGGTGATTAACATAACATAATAAAAAAAAATTGAAAAAAAAATATCTGCTGATAGCCTTATGGGATTTCCCATGTATGTAACAAGCTTGTTTCTCTTGCTATTTTTAAGATTATCTCTTCATATTTAACTTTCAATGTTTTAATTATAATTATAATTAACTTAATTATAATGTGTAGATCTCTTTGGGTTCATCTTGTTTGGAACTCTATGGGCTTCCTGTGTCTGGGTGCCTGTTTCCATTCCCAGATTAGGGAAGTTTTCATCCATGATCTCTTTAAAATAAGTTTTATGTCACTTTCTCTCTCTTTTCTCCTTCTAGGACACCCATTTGCAGATATTATTCTGCTTAATGTTGTCCCATAAGTCCCTTAAGGTATCCCACCTTTTTAAATCCTTTTTTCTTTTTGCAACTCTCTCTGGGTGAGTTTCATTGCTTTGTCTTCCAGTTCACCAAACCATTTTTTCTGTTTTTTCCAGTCTGCTGTTGAACTCCTCTAGTGTATTTTTCATTGGTTACTGTATTCTTAAGCTCTGTAACTTCTATTTGGTACTTTCTTATATTTTCTATCTCTTGTTTAAGTTCTCATTGTATTCATCCATTCTTCTCCCTAGGTCAGTGAGCATCTTTATAACCATTATTTTGAACTCTTTATCAGGTAGATTACTTATCTCTGTTTCATTAAGGTCATTTTCTGAGCTCTTTATCTTTCATTTGAAACATATGCCTCTGCCTTGTTTTGCCTAATTATCAGAACAGCTACCTCTCCCAGTCTTGAAGAATTGGCCTTGTGTAGAAGATGATGTGTGAGGCCCAGGAGCAATGGCTCTGGCTACTAGAGCCAGACACTCCAGAGGTATCCCCTCTGTGGGGTGCATGCACCAGCCAGCTGTGGCAGAGCCATGGTTGTGGCACAAAGGAAGAGAGATACTGGCCTGGCAGTGGTTTGACTATGGCACAGGAGGGGTGGGACACTTGCCTAGCTGGGGTAAATCTGTGGCTTGGAAGGGTAGGTCTCTTGCCTGGTTGGCTGTGACATGGTTCTGGCGTGATGCAGGGTGCTCTCCCAGCTGGCTATGGCATAGCTGGCACATGGTGAGGTGTGGTACACCTACCTGCACTAGCAGGTTACAGGGAGATTGCCAAAATAACACCCACCAGTATTGGCATTAGCAAGGTAGAATGAGATTGCAAAAATGCACCTGCCAGTGCTTCTGTCCCTGGAGAGAGTCCCAACATGCTTCTGCCTCTCTAGTGATCACTTTAAAATTAGTAATTGGGTCTGCTTCACATATGTACCAGGTGTTTTCAAACTGCTGTTTTTTTGCTGGGTCCTGGGGTGACTGAGTCCCCACATGCGAGTCCCTTCAGGGCAGGTTCTCTGTTCCCTACAGCCTCCCTACAGTTGTTTCTTCTCCTGGATATAATCCCTGATGGTCTTATGTTTGGGGCAGGGGGGGGGGCTCATCTTTCCAGTACAGGACCCAAAGATTGTGGTGTCAACCTCTAGCTTCTCAGGAGAAAGTGCTGTACTTTGGGAATCTCTCCTCATTATGGGTCATCATGTCTAGAATTGGAGTTTTTGGCAGCAGGTGTGTCTCTACCTCTCTTGCCCATCTCCTCATAGCCCTTTTATCCTTTGTTGTGGAGGCACAATGTTCATCCAGTTATCAGGATTTTTTCAGAGAAATTACTCCATGTGTAGGAGTAGTTTGTTGTGTCCATGGGAGGAGGTGAGTTCAGGTTATTCCTACACTGCCATCTTGAACCACCCACTCCTCTTCTCCTACTTTATCATTCTTGAACTGATCTCTTTCCTGGGACATCACATTCAGTGATTTTTCTTCTAATTCTTGACCAAACCTTCTTAGTCTTTTGGAGGATTTTCTGCAAAATGTTGCTTAATTATTGCTATGCCCCATTTCCTACCCTTAGCTGTATTTTTATTCTCCCTTCAGGGTTTCCCTAGATAGTCAAATATACCATTAAATTTCTATTTCTAGATATAGCCTAAATTTTAGACTCACTTTTGCTTTGTGTACTATACATCTCCATTTAGATAATCCAAAGGCTTCTCAAAATCAACGATATGCTAAATAAAACCATTATTTCTCTTTCTTACTTTAAAAAACATGTTGCTTTATCCATATTTCTTCCTTCATCTAATGGTGCCACCATTCATCCTGTTGCCTAAAAATAAAACCTTGAAGATTTTCCCTCATATGTTAGTGTTCCTCTTAAAATATTTTTGAAAGGTTATTCCCTTATTCTTGAATTGCACTTCCTTGACTAAGGACTTAGTCATCTTTTATAAACTACTTATTAAATTTTCTTATAGGTTTCCTTAAGTTCATCCTCCCTACCTCCACTTCTCCATTCTCAGTTATGATCCCAAAGCTGAAAGAATTATTTTTTTCCTTTTTTTTAATCTGAACTTGTTCTGCTTTCAATCCTTGATTATTCTCCAGTAGCTAAAAATAAAAACTAAGTTCCCTAGCTTCGTATAGAAGATCCCCTATAATTCAACCTCCTTTGGTAATTACCAACTAATCTCCCACTTGCAACTTAACCATGCAGCCATAATGAGCAAATAAAAACTATTCAATTTTCTATAATTATAGCTATCATCATGATGTTTTTTCAGCTTAGAAATTCTATCTTTCTTCTGTGCACTTTGAACACTTATACTTTACTTCTAAATTTCAGTTCCTTTGTGACATCTCCCTTGACTTGCCAAGGCATTTTGTCATATGTTACTTGGACTTTGTGGTATTTTCACCATATGACTATTATCACTTTTCTCACCCACTTGCAGTCATTTATGTATATGCACATACCCCACATTAAGCTTTGTATTTTTCATGACAGCATTTTCAACATCTAATAATGCCTCAATAAATAATTAACACCAAATATGTGATGAGCAAATAAATAGATCAATACTTTTAATTACAAGAAAGTTTAAGGAATTCAATGTTTGTAACTTAAAACTTGCCATGAATAAGGAAATAAGGATGCATTTTTACTTTCCTAATGCTTGAAATCCATATAACTTCATAAGGCAATTCCTAAAAACAGAATTTTTCTTTTGGTAACTGAAATGTAATCTTTATTAATTTATGAAAGTTAAATAAAAAGCTTTAAAATAAGGCTATTATCACATATCAACTATCAGAGAAAATTAAATTTTAATTATATATGATATTTCAACTACTGAAAAAAATCTTAAGAATTTATCTTTAGGGTAGTTTAAGAAGAATTCTCAAAGAAACTATTTAGACTACCCTGGAAATGACTCATTTCCCCAAAATTTTCCCCAGAAGTGTCCCTGGTATAATACAGATTTCTATGGTAGCAGCATGTTTCATGCCAAACCCTGGATCCTTTCTAAATCTCTACCACATAGATTATAGAGCTAAGTAGTAAAAATGCTTTAAAAATTAAATAATATTAATTTATGGTTCAATAGCCTATATCCATTCTTGGAAAGCACAGAAGTTTGAAATAAAACAGCTAAACCTTAAGAAAATAAAGCAAACCAAAAATGCATATAAAATCACCCAGTCTAAAGGAAAAAAAATTAAAAATGTAACATCATCATGAGTATATTTTTTATCCAGCAAAATGCTGATTCTACCATATCAAAAAAATCAGTTCACACTTTTTAAGAAAAAGTTAAATCATAAATAGTATAAACACAACTAAAAGATATTCCATCAACCTTAAACCCAACATATTCTGAAGCCTCTCACCTGGCTGGATGTTTTCTCTTATGATAGTGACATGGTTATCTCGATCTGGTCGTGTGTGTTCATGCCAAAAGCCTATCACATGGCCCAATTCATGAACAACAATTCCAAATTTATCACAGTTCTTGCCAATAGAGATTGCCTGGGGTCCATTTCCCCGCCGACCTACATAGGAGCAGCATCTGCAATAAAGGAAAAAAACAGAGATGGTGGTGGCAATGATAGATTAATTACAGTACAGTGAAACTTGTCAAGAATTATGATCAACTACAAAGTCCAACACATTCAGAGGCAGAGTAGCCTAGTCCTGGTAAATGTATAGACAACAAAAGTCTCCACATAATCACTGGAAGTGCTTTTTCACTAATTCATACATTAGAAGATATGCCTTAAATCATTATTAGGAGTGTTCAGAAGATATCAGAAAATAAAATATCTCTGATGGTGATTAATGGGCTTTAAACATATAAACTCAAGACTTACTAACCCACAATTAGGTCTAATAGAGTTTTTTAGTTTCACAATCCATCTACATTATTTAAGTAACTACTTTGTCACTGTGGTTATCTGGAAATAATCCACTATTTCAGTTTTGAATATAAAAACAAAGTTTATTTTCCCCTTTAAGAAAGATAGAATTAGGGGTGCCTGGGTGGCTCAGTCGGTTAAGCGCCTGACTCTTGGTTTTGGCTCAGGTCATGATCTCAGGGTTGTGAGGCTCACGTTTCTGCACTAAACGTGTCAGGCTCCACGTTTAGTGCAGAATCTGCTTAAGATTCTCTCTCTCTCTCTCCCTTTCCCCTTTATCCCCCCTAAAAAAAGAAAAAGAAAAAGAAAAAGAAAACAAAAAAAAAAGAACAAAAGAAAGAAAGATGATTAATCAATAAAGGAGTTATTTTTCCTACTCATGGGAGAATTTATTTTGAAGAAGAAAACTTTTAAAAGGAATCAATGGAGGAAAATTAGTTTCAAAAGGTAAATTTCCTAAGGTTAATAGCTAACTGGTGGAGAAAAACTAACAACTGGTAGAATTATGAGATTTGCAAATATAAATAAAATTATATCTAAAACTTAAATAATTGGGGTTTACATTAAAATAGGTTTATATATAGGATCACTGCTTGCGACAGCAATAGAGGGCAGTAAATAATAATCATGATGCACAAGACACCAAACACTGAGAAAACTGTCAAAAATTAATTGCCCAAACGTTAAAAGGAATTTCACAAATTTTCAGTTTCCAAAGTAAGTATATTTGATAGTCCTTTTGATTGTTCACAAATACAAATATTTTTCATTCCAATTATTTCTTTGGGCTTTAAATGCCTTAAGCATCTGAACCTACACCATACACTTATTTATGAATCTATTATAACAATTAATGAAGCTTAATAAATCAATAATAGAAAAAAAGAGGTAACTGGTAGGGAAAAAAATCAGGAAATTTTGGTTTTGCCCCAATTTTTAATACTATGCTTCAATCTAGACACAGATATTTATTGCATACCCAAATAATAAGCTATTAGATGTAGGAAAACACAAAATTTGCAAATTTTGGAGAGATTTAAACCAAATCATTTGCTACCATAGAGCAACAGTAGTTAAACTAAAATATCTGATGATTATATAGCAACTAAATTACACACACTGAGTCATTCTCGCTGGTTATATTCAAAGAAGAAAATACTTTGCAAATCAAAATCTGGGAGATAGTCAAGCAATGTGGTCAACTTATTTAATCTAAAACACCTTTTTTAAGCATCATTTCACACATAGCAATTTCCAATAAATAAGATGGATTCCATAATAGAAAACAAAAATATATTTTCCACTGACTTTTATAATGATCCTGTGAAAGAAGAAAAATGTGGTGGTTTGATTCCTCTTGTTCTAGGGAGAGAATAATTCTGGATGCTAAGATGAAAAAATAACTAAATATATGCACATATAATTAGGTATGGAATGACAGGGTAATATGTGAGGTTTATAAAAATGTGGTTTAAACACGTCTAGGTATTATCTTAGTTTCAAATATCACTCAGGTTGATGCCATTTTCTTGTATATAGCTCTTGATTTTTTTTATTTCTAATTTGTGTGCTGCTTTTAAAACTTGGCCACTATAAGATCTATCTGTCCTCTCAAGAAAAACTTTCACCATCTATAGGAGGCCACACCTCTCCCTATGCCATAGATAGTAATCAGGTAACCTAAAACCTGCTATTCCTTACTTTTGCCTCAGACTGGAGGACCAAAGCACCTTTAGAGTTTGCCTATTGGATGATCTATCATGACATCCACAAAGATGTCCTCCCCATAGCAGTCTTTTCTCAACATTGAGATAATTTAAAAATTTAAAGTCATATTATGACTCTTCTCTACCCAATATTCTCCAGTGGTTCTATGGCACATTGTGTCAATGTTCAAAAATATTCATTACCCCTCACTGGAAGATAATCATACTTCCTTACTCCACTGATGTTGAGTTCGGTCATGTGACTTGCTCTGGATAATGTCATGTGAGCACGAACTCTTTGTATAATTTCTGGAGAGAATCTTTAATAGTCAATATGTTTGGAAATATTGTCTCTGTTTCATCTGCCACAAATGCAAAGTTCTAAAGAAAGGTTCCTCCATCAGACTGAATACTAAAGTGATAACTCTGGAGAGAGACACAGCCAACCAGTGATGGACAGGCAGTACAAACAAACAAGGAATGAATGTTTGTTACTTGAAGCCACTGGGATTGAAGGGTCATGTATTAAATGAATCATGTCAGCTTACTAATACAAGCTTTCTCTTTTACTCAGAGGAAAATCTGAAGTACTTACAAATAACTGTAAGATCCCACATGATCTTCACACACAAATGTCTTACCATCCAGTCCCATCTCTTACTACTGTCCCTGCAACTCACTCCTCCTGAGCCATGCAGTGTCCTGGCTGTGCCTTCAGCATACAGACATGCCCTTGCCTTAAAGCCTTTTTCCTGGCTATTTCTTCTGTCGGGACCTCTGTTCTCCCACATAGCATATGGCTCATTTCATCTTCTTTTTCAAGTTTTTGTGCAAATGCCTTTCTATCCCATTTATATTGCTTTCCTTTTTGTCCTAGAACTTAGAGTCTATTAATACATTTTATATTTCATTGATTTTCATGTTTTTTTCTGACTCCCCATCCTAGAATGTAAGCTATTTGTGGGCAGACAACTTACACGTTTTGTATACAGATATCTCTAGCCCCTAAAATATAGTCAGGCCCATAGTACAGCTCAGCAGATACAGAGAACAGATTGGAAGTTGCAAGCACTTGGGGTGGAAGGTGGGAGGGTGGACCAAGTGAGTGAAGGGGGTCAAAATGTACAAACTTCCAGCTATAAGATAAATAAGTCCTGGGGATATAATGTACAGCATGGTGACTAAAGTTAATAATACTGTATCATATACTTGAAAATTGCTAAGAGAGCAGATCTAAAAGTTCTCATCACAAGAAAATAAAAGTGTTGCAACTATGTGGGGTGATGCCTGTTAACTAAATTTATTGTGGGAATCATTTCATAAAGTATGCATATATCAACTCATCACAGTATACACCTTAAAGGAATACAGTGTTCTATGTCACTTATATTGTAATAAAACTGGAAACAGATCATTTTTGAAATAAATAAATTAATAAATATTTGTTGAAAGAACAGATCTCATAAGTGCAGGAGAGAGCTAAGACTTTGGTGGTTAGCAGGGACCATTCAAAGCAATGGTGAAGATGCTTATGGCCAGGGATTAAAAATGCTCTTCCTGAGATACCTCCCTCCACCTGGCTCTCCACTTTTTCCATTGGTGTGATTCTACAAATTATCTAATAATCCAACAAGTCATTTTTTTCTGCTTAAATTAATTAGCCTCCATTGTTTGCAAGCAAGAATCATAGCTAGCACACCTCCTCTGCCTAACTATAATCTTCTTGCAGAGAAAAACACCTCACATTCAATTTTATAGTCCCAAAAATTAGTATAGTAAGTGGCACAAAATGAAAATTCAATAGGTAAGGATGAATAAGTGACTGTTGCCATAATCTGAATAGCCAAACTGACCAAATTTAAACACAATTTAAAACACAAAATCTAGAAAATAGCTAAATAAGTTAACCCTAAATTTATTTGTTTGGTTAGTTGTTTTTAAGGAATCATTAAAAATTAGCAGATAGGAAAAAAGTCAGATTGTTCAAGAAACTATCTAGTAGGGGATAGAGGATATTCATGCATTAAAGACCTAAATATGAGACCTAAAACCACAAAAATCCTAGAGGAGAACATAGGTAGTAAACTCTTTGACATTGGCTATAGCAACTTTTTTCTAGACAGGTCTCCTAAGGCAAAGGAAACAAAAGCAAAAATGAACTATTGGGACTACAACAAAATAAAAAGGATTTGCACAATGAAGGAAACAGTCAACAAAACTAAAAGGCAACTTACTGAATGGAGAAGATATTTGCAAATGACATATCTGATAAAGGGCTACTATCCAACATATGTAAGAACTTATAAAACTCAACACCAAAAAGAGCAAAGAATCCAATTAAAAAATGGGCAGAAGACATGAACATTTATCCAAAGAAGACATTCATATAGCCAACAGACACATGAAAAGATTTCATCATCACTCACCATCAGAAAAATGCAAATCAAAACAACAATGAGATATCACCTCACACCCATCAGAATGGCTAAAATCAACAACACAAGAAACAAGAAGTGTTGGAGAGGATGTGGAGAAAAAGTAATCCTCATGCACTCTTGGTGGAAATGCAAACTGGTGCAGCCACTCTGGAAAACAGTATGGAGGTTCCTCAAGAAGTTAAAAATAGAACTACCCTCCAATGTAGCAATTGTACTACTTATTTACCCAAAGAATACAATATCACTAAATCAAAGGGATACACGAACCTCTGTGTTTACAAAAGCATTATTTACAATACAATAGCCAAGATATGGAAGCAGCCAAGTGTCCATCGACCAATGAATGGATAAACAAGAGGTGGTATATATACACAATGGAATACTATTCAGCTATAAAAAAGAATGAAATCTTGTTATTTGCAATGACATGGATGGAGCTAGCGAGTATCATGCTAAGTGAAGTAAGTCAATCAGAGAAAGACAAATACTATATGATTTCACTCACATGTG